CGAGTCCCCGTCCCCTCCCCTCTCTGGCCTCCGCGCTTTCCTCTCCGGGCTCTGCGTGTGACGCTCGGAAGACCGCAGCATCTTTCCGGTCTCCTACACCGAAGCCGCTGCGCCTCTCGGCTCCCGGCTCTGACTCCGTGGTCAGCAGGGGGCGCCCGCCGTGCACCCTGGGCCGCGCGACGGAGTTTAGAGGCCCGGACCTGGACTCCGGGTTCCGCAAAGGAGAGAGGGAGGAAGGGGTGGAAGGAGGGAGGGAGGATCCGGCCCAGAAGAGGAACCTTGGTCTCTTGTGGGAATACGGATCTTAGGTGATGTAAGAGCTGACGCCACCACGGACCTGGGGTGAGCTGGGTTTTCCGAAGGGTTGCACTTGGGTCTCCTGCAGTGGGGGATCAGGGCGGGTGGGTGGTCTCAGAGTGGATCAGGGTGTTCTCGGAGAGAGGGTTGGCACCTAGGATTCCTCTGGAAGTGGGTGGCTTTTGGGTGATCTCACCGAGAGGGCCTGGGACCCGGCTCCGAACAGGTCCAGGCTTCTTTTTTGTCGTGTCGTCTTTGTTTTAGCAAGTGCCTGTCAAGCTTGGCCTGTCTCATCGTGTGGCCTGTGTGTCTGCAGCGTTCCTGTGCCTGGCATTTCCTGTCTGACAACTTTCCCCGAGTCCTTGAATCTCCCTGGGGTTGTTCACGTGTCTGGGTACAGCGTGCATGACCACGGCTGTCCCCGGCATCTCCTGGATGGTGGGGGACGTGACAGGGTTTCTCTGACTCCGTGGACCATTTTCTATTGTGATTCTGTGTATGTGTCGTTGTGAGACCCTCTTTCTTTGTGGAATTGTGTATCTGTCCTAACGTTGGGTCCCATGGAACTCTGTGTGGCCCTGTGAGACGTCCTCCGTGTGTCCACAATTGTGTGCCTGCACCCGAGTGTCTGTGTGAGTGTGAGTGATCTTGCGTGTGCCCAAATCATGTGTCTCTGGCACCTACCTATGCGTGTGTGATTGTGTACACCCTTAGTGTGTGTCCTTGTGTGTGTCTACGGCTAGCCATGGGTCTGTCCCGCCCCTCTGTGTCTGTCAGTGGGTCACTGTGTGTATGCCTGTCTGTTGTGTCTCCACATCTGGTTCGTACACGTGTGATTGTGTCTTGGATGGTGTGACCTGCTGTCGGTGTGCTTGAGTATATGTCCCTGTGCCTCCGTGTAGCTCTTTGGTATGTGTCTGTGGCTAGCTCTGCTGGCTAGCTTTGTGTATCTATGGTCGTGTGTACACGTATGTATGCAATTGTGTGTATGTCTCTGTGGTGTGTCTGTCTTGAGAACTCTGGTCCTCGCGCTTGCAAGGCAGGTGTCGGAAACACTGAGCTACATCCCTGGCCCCAGGGCCTAAATTTTATATGTGTTTTTTCCCCCAGGGCCTAAATTTTGAGACAAGTTTTCACTAAGTTGCTGAATTGCCCAGGTGGGACTCTAACTTGCCATCCTCCTGCCTCAGCCTCCCAGAATGCTGGGATCACACACCCTTACTCGGTTATCTTTTGTGTCCTCACTCAGGTGTCTTCTGTGTCCCCATGTCTAACTATGGCTCTCAGTGGTTGCCATCCATGGGGGCCTGGAGAGTCCCTTCCTGCCAGTGGCTCCCCTGGGGTTCCCTTTCCCCAGCAGATTGGCCGGTTTCCCAGCAGCAAATGGTTTCTTCCCTTGGAGGGGCCCTTGTCACACCCCCCACCGCCCTCTCCTTCCACTGCGTTTATCAGGGAAACACCCTTTCCTGTCTTTGATGTCACCGTGGCCAATTTTCCCTTCTTCCAAACACTTGTGACCGTGGTTTCTTTCTTTATCTGTGCAGAGTTGACCATGATTCCCTGCTTAGTGCTAGAAGAAGAAGAAGAAGAGGAAGAGGAGGAGGAGGAAGAAGAGGAGGAAGAGGAGGAGGAGGAGGAAGAAGAAGAAGAAGAAAGCAAAAACCAAACACATGGAAAATGCCAGTGATGCAAAATCAAGTACAGTAAAAGATGCATCTGTTTTCACCCTGACTCCCCCCAGTTTTTGCATACCTCCAGAAATATTTTATACAGATAGATCTGCGTGCTGAAGCAAACAAAAAAAATCTTTGTTTTCTACATAGCATCCTGTACCTTGCTGCTTTCTGAGCCCTCAGAGATTTCTATCAAGGTCCAGAGAAGCGAGTGAGTCTTCTCTCCCCCTCAGTGAACAAACCCATGCTGCTAACAGCCCGACCATTGCTTTCTGAGCACAGTTGAGGTCATTTCCATCCAGGACGGTTTTGCTACAAATGTCTCCTCCCTGTCTGTCTGCCCAGACATCGGAACTGGCCTTTGAACCGGGGTGGTTGCGTGACAAGATCAAGCCGCACACACAGTCTCCTGGGGACGCCAGGGTCCTCAGGCCACTGGTAGCGATGGCGGGTAACTCTGCTGAGCACAGATATGGCTCCCTGGTTCTGCGATCGACCACACAAGGTGGTCGCCGGGGTCCAGCCCATTTCACAGATGAGGAAACAGAGGCTTGGAGAGGTGGAGGGATTTGCTTAGGATCACACACCTAGCAAGAGGCGGTGTTGGGACTGAAGTCAAGCCATGTGATCCTATGCTGTGCTGGTCTTCAGTTGGAAACGTGTCCAGGCACACGGTACCATGTTGGAAACAATCCCACAGCAGCCAAATCTGAGTACCACTTCATTTTGTTTTACTTTATTTCTCAGTATTACGGATTGAATCCAGGACCTTCATACCTAACTATAATATCCTCAGCTCCTTCATAAGATCCTTAATTTGGAAATAGAGTCTGTCTCTCTAAGTCACAAAGTTGCCCAGCTTGGGTTTGAACTCATTGTCCTCCTGCCTCAGCCTCCCACAGTGCTGGGGTGATGGGTGTGCACCACTACGCCTGGCCTCCAAAATCTTTTTCTTTTTTTTCCCCGGTACCAGAAATTGAACTCAGGACCTTGCACTTGCCAGGCAAGTGCTGTGCCACTGAGCTACATCCCTGGCCCCCAGCCTCCAAAATCTGAACTGCTTTGCACAAATAACCCTCAAGACCCTCATGTTGTACCTTGGTGAACATTCCTAAGCGCTGGGCCTGTTTTTCTGGCCTAAGGCCAAGGAGACCTGGGTCCTGCTTGCTCAAACATAGAGGATGAAAATTCCCTTTCTTCGTCTGTTTTCTCCTTCAGTGGCCTGTCACACACCTTGGCTTACAACAACCTGTAATCTTGACTTTTTGTTTGTCTTCTCACTTGCTTTGTTCCTTAGTTTCTGCCTTTGAGCACCTATCTGATCTTTCACCTATCTGATCTTTTGCTCTCTCCCTGGAACACTTACTCAGCAAACAGTAAAAACACTGTTTTGTCTCTGCCCTGGGGGTGGTTGTGGTGGTGGAGAGCAGTGCTGCTGCTGTGAGCCTCCTCGGGAGGCTGAGGCAGGGGGATCACTTGAGCCCAGGAGTTCCAGGCCAGCCTGGGCAACACAGTGAGACCCTGTCTCAAAACAAACAGGGCCGGTTGTTTGGCTCAGTTGTTTCTGCCACTTACCTCAAAAGCACAAGGGCTGGAGTTCTATCCCCGGCACCAAAAACAAACAAGCAAACACCCACCCAAACAGTGGCAAGGCCGGCAGCAGAGGTCTGCAACAGGGCCCCTCCGAGAGGGGATGAGTTTTGCTAGGAAAAATCCAGGCGAACTACCTGGGCCGGGGATGCCTGTTCGGTCGACCTCAGAGGCAGAAAAGGGCCTCCCCAGGCACCCAGGAGGTGCTTTCCCGTCCTCTTCCTCCCTGCCCCATCGTGAGACAAAGGAGCCCTGAGAGGTGAGGCCCGGATGGCTCAGATGTCCTGACCACAGAGCTGGGCCCCTGGGCCCTGCGGGGAGGCCTTTTCCCCTCCCTGGAGGACATGAGCCCTGCGGAACTCCCTGCTCACCCACCACCCATCTACCTTCCTCTCTTCCCTGCCCACCCGTCCATCTCCCCACCCGCTCCCTCTCTCCCTCCCTCCTTTCTTCTCTTCCCCCGCTTCTTTCCCTCTTTCCTCTCATGAAGACTCTCAGAGGCCCACAGTGTGACGCTGTGACGAGGCAGGTAAACATCCTTAGGCTCACAAGTGATCACGGAAAACCATCACGAGCAGGTGAACAGAGGGGTCTTTGGGCTCTGGAGAACCTGAAAAAGGAAGGTGGGGTGCTGTCAATGATCAGAGAGATTTTTTTTTTTTCCGGTATGGGGGTCGAACTCGGGACCTTGCACTTTTGTGTGCTAAATCCCCAGCCCTCTCAGAGAAGCTCTTGTATTTCTCCCGGCTCCTTTTCCTGTCACTTTTTTTTTTTTTTTGTACCAGGGATGAGTTCTGGCGTGGGCTATGGCGAGGTGCTCTGGCAGCCGGGGGAACCCCTGAGCCACATCCCC